TTGAAAGCTTCATTTCAATGCAGTAGAATTTCAGATGGGAAAGGACAATCATCTGGGTTATCCAGTCTGATTCCTAACGTCTTAGACAAGCGTGTAAAGTCTTTGGTCCGGAGCAGCTTCAGTCTGTGAATCCTATTGACATGCCACAAAACACTTCCAGCAATCTGTAACTCTAACCAGTCTAGGAAAATCCCTTTCTGATCTCAGATATGGTGATGGGTTTATGCATTGGTGAATATGAAGAACAAACCAGCAGAGAAATTTATCCATAGCAGGAAGACAACCCCAAGAAATTTTGTAGTTATGGCCAGTTACCAAAGCTGCAAACAGACCTTCCTCTCCCCTCAGACTGCAATCCCCTTCTCCTGCTCCCTTCCATCCCCCAGAAAAAAGAGAGAAGCCAAATCAAGATGTCAAGGGAGAAAATATTCTTGGCTCCTCAATGCGACTAGAAGAAGCTTTGAAATTTGGGATTAATTAAATGCAATATAAATCTGGCACAACAAATTGTGCAAATTAAGCATTAACATATTTAAGGACTGAACAACAGCCAGCAGGAGCCAAAATACGTGTAGATAAACTATAAATCTTTACATTTATCATTGCTGCACTGTATATGGCACATTTTTACCCCTTTTTGGTATTTATATGAAAAGCATAGAACATCCTGTGCACAAATACATTCATGACCTGTGTATGTTATCAATCACAGCTATTTCTCAGCTCTTTTTGCTGCTATCTGAAGCCACTTAAACGATTAGCACCGATGAAAGACCTGATACAGCAATACAGCATTACATGACAAAAGAAAATAATATTCACTTTTCTTTCAATCCCAGCTGCTCCTGTGAAGCAATGGCACAGTATTTCCCGGGGCAGAGGTTGCAGAAGGTCCCCCTTGAGACATGAAGGGACATCTGGGATGACTGACACATCCCCAGCTTCCTCAGCCTGCAGAGCACAGAGCCTCATGATTAGTGCTGAGCATTCTTTCCTTTATTTTTGTTTTCTTTTTTCTAAACCACATTTTTTTTTAGAGAAAGACTAAATATCTCTCAGTATTCTTAGCTTTCTAGTCTTTTCATGAAACACTGCTCATCTTTCAAAGCTGAATCACATGAGCAAGCACTACATGAAGGAGTCCACATTTGCCAACATATATCACAAAGTGCTTCATGTAACAAAACATGAACATTACATGAACAAGTGTTCATGTACTTTCCCATGGGGTATGACCCTTACACTGCTAATGTGATTTCTAGCATCAGTTGCTAGCACTCAAAGGCCACCACTGCTATTCTTCGATCTCCTCATTCTGCCAAAGGTAACCTAAATACTGTAAATTCAACATTAACAGTGCTTTTCTGTTTGGGGTAGAAGAAATAGGTTAAATACTGAAGGCAAAAGTATATTGTTTTCTCAAGTGGCTGTCCAGAGAGGCACCCACTATGAACAGTTGTCACACAGAAGGCTGAAAACTTAAAGGTTTTCTGTCAGTCAGTGGGACTGGATACACAAATCATCATAACCCAGTATTAGTCATCTTGGGAAAGAACAAGCTAATGGCTTTTGTATTTCTGCATTTTGCTTTGAAACATTGTCTGCAATCTATGCAGCTGTCGCTTAAAAGATGTACAAATGATTTTACTTTTGGAAATGTGAGATAACGGCCACCCAAGACAATATACCAGATTACATGCATCTTCCAAAAACTTATGAATTATGAGCTAGCCCCTAAATCCACTGACAAAATTATATCAGCTTTCTACGTTATAAGTTGCCTAGTTATTCTGGGTTTCTCCTCCTTATCATGTTTGAATTTTAACTCTTGACTTATGGCATCTCTTTCAATAATCTTGAAGAGTTTGCAAAGCAAAACAACACAGATCAAACCAAAAACAATTAAAATATCAATATTAAAATATTGATTAAAATATCAAACCAAAAACAATTAAAAATATTAAATTTAAAAAAAAATAATTGTTTAATTAAAACAATTAAAATATCAATTAAAATATCAAAATATCAGTATTATTTGGTATTCTTTAACTGCTGTTGGTAGTTCAGAGTGCCAACACAGAGTGAGAAGATTCCCTTCACTACTACTTATATTCCCTTCAATATAACCTTATACATATCTCTGTTGACTGGAACAACTTGACAAAAAATGGTCAGTCTTATGCTGGAGTCTTCAAACCTTGAATATAAGCTTGAAAAACACAACCAATAACAAATCATTTCTCTATAGTGTTAGAAGGACAAGTGTTTCTTGGAATAGATCTCCTTTGGTGATATATCTCAAAGCTAACTCATTTCATCCAACCGTGCAAAGAGCTCTCAAATGATATACTGAAATTTCTGCAATAGCTCTGAAGACCTCCAAAGACAGAAGACCATTCTAAACTCATACTTCAGAATTCGGTTGTTCCCATTTTTCATACTGCATCTATAAATTAGGATTTAGCTAATAAACCTTTCTAACACTGGCAAAAAGGAGTTCTATAATGCTATTTATTTTAAAAGACATGTTGACTGCAAAAAAAATCTTTTTTGATATTGTTGGAAAAAATATATATATATAAAAAATGCAGCTGATATTGACACTATATGCTTTAAGAATAAAGGAAAATATAAGTGAAAAATCTTTTGCATAGATTTTCAAAATAAAACTTATGTACACATTTGTAGGGCTAATTCATCCAGGATCCTTGGTACTACAATCATATGGTGTTATGTTTCCATATAATGAAATTACACAAATAAAACTGCTATTTACTGTACTATCTATTGAAAGAAAAAAAGAACTGTTCAGAACTTTGCGAAAAAAACCCTCCACTTTTGAACCTGTCATCAGGTTTTACTCTGAGTTGAATTGACTGAAATTTGATTGACTTTTTTTTTTAATCAGTCTCTGTGTTTTTGTACATATTTATGTATCTTGAGTAGTAGAAGAGCGTAGAAAATATAACTAACTACACTTTTGATGTTTCTTTTTAAGAAGAGTAGAAAGACTATTTTCGAGATCAACACCCTCCTCAAAACACCTGAATGTCTTCGACTTGTATCCCTAAATTACGGGCCTTAAGAGCAGCTCAGGAACACTTTCTTTTCCTCTGTACTATTATTCCTCTGTTATGCTTTGATATATTGTATCTTTTCTTTTATAGACAATGCAATGTCCTGTGAACACTGAACACTTGGGGGTAAATCACCATTTACCAGCTATTTCTCCGGCATTACCAACTTACCCAGGGTTTAAAAGCAATAATCATCTATGCACATGTACATACAAATAACACACACACACTTTGCACAGAGGACAACAGCAACAACCAACAAAAATAATTTGAAATGGGCTGCCTTAAAACTGTATGACATAAAAGCCACAAAGTGTTTGCCAAATTAGACTAGTCCATCCCAATGCACAGAACATCACTTTGTGTTACAGGGCTGATATAAATCATTAAAATGATTATAGGCAGGACTCAAGAAAGGGATTTTCCTACACAGAAAAAAAGGTAGTTGGCATTAAGAATCTGGAGTAAATATAGTTTTCAGTGCAGAGTCCGAAATTAGCTATGAGGAAGGACCTACATAGGAAGAACCTAAACAATTTCAAAGGCACTAATAACACCCAAGTTGCTTTCTAATGCATATATAATCTGTGTACAGAACTAATATTAGAACTGGCAAAATTAAAAACAAAAACAAAACACACAGCTGCATCTTTCCTTCATATGTTCTACATCTTTGAAAGTCTTTGCTGTACAAGGGATTTTTCTTCAAGCTTTTTCTGAAAAAAACATAAAAATACTCAGTCTAAGAAAATGTCAGAGCTTTTCATAATTAAAAGAGACAGTTTTAGGGAAGGAACATTTAAACATACACTAATGATGGAATTTATTCTGGCATAAATAGTCACATGTGCTTTGTTTATATGATTCATAACAGAAAATGCATAACATATATTCTGTAGTCACATGCAACATTTTTATTACTCTAAAATATAACAAAAACTTAGGCTTCCAGTTTAAAATCAATTTCAGGTGAAAAATGAAGCTTCTTTCTATATACATCAATCATTTTCAGTCAACAGAGCATCACCTTTTCAGACCATAAGACAAAACAAAGCATAGCTGTACTATCTCACAACCCCTGTGCCTTATCACTTCCCTGTTCACTTAAAAATATATTAAAATCATTTCCATCAGAGAATTGATTTAGTCTCTAGAGAGGGTGCACACGGTGACTGTGGGCTAAGGCTAGTCAACCTCTTGCATCCATTATTTCAGCAAGTAAAAGTACATTTCAAAAATACCTTTACATACTACATTCTGCTTTGCTTTGGTGAAGTTAATTAAAAAAGAAAGAAAGGAATATTAACTTCTATCCAAGTGTCCCTGTGATTTTCGTTTCACAGTTTTGGGTTATCTGGCATATGATCTTTCTCAGTGTAAGTGCTCAGAACAATCCGTACACATCCTAGATCTGTACACATCCTAGATTCTGGTCACTGTATACTTCAAAACACACTGCCTGACCATTAAATAAGACTCAAAGGAGGAGAAACAAAGCAGATTTTTTTTGTATTCATAAATCTAAAAAAACTCCACCAACACCTACGTTTCTTCTTTAAAATACCCTATTTAACTGCATGCAGGACTGGGAAGCATGCTGTTTAGGGAAGCCAGCAAACCCCACTATCCCAGATGGATAACACATCACCCTGACGTGCAAAGTCCAGAGAAGCTACAGAAACAAAACCAAGCGCTTTCACAAGGGAGCTCTGCCAGGTGGTCCCCCATTATTTCCATGGCCAGCAGCCAAACGCCACACATCAAACATATATATGTATATATTAATATATATATATGTGCGTGTGTGTTGGTTTTTCCCCAGGAGGTGCCACTAACCGAAATCTAGAGAGAGCCCAGAAAGTTGCCGCCGTCCCCGAGCCCTCGCAACCTCTACCTTGCTTGGATGGAGAAGCAGCAGCTCACCTGGCCCGGGTGGTGCCGGCCGTGCCTACAGGAGCACTCGGGCCACCACTCGCCCGCGCTGCCCTTGGCCTTGCCGAGGGCTTTTGGGGGGCTCTTCCGCCCGCTGTCCCACACAGGTGCCGCCACCTTGGTCCTGCTGACGGTGCCGGAAAGGAGCGGGCCACGTCCATGGTGCTGGTGCCAACTGCAGGCACAACGGGCATCCCTCGCCATCGGCGGGATGCCGACGCCCCCGGTCCCCCGGCCGGGCGGCTGCAGCGGGG